ACAGAACTAAATCTAAATAATATTATTTAGATTTCTGTGGTTACAGTAATAGTTTTCGTGTTAAAATTTTACAAAATTAATAAGTGTACTGTTTTCACAATCATATATTATAGAGTGGTTTCTTGTAGTTTATTTTATTTTATCTAAATTTCATTTAATTGGCAAAAAGACCTAATTGCTTAAATCGTTCTCGCATAACACGAATTTATCAAGCTTATGGGTCATTAGGCGTGGATAAGGTGAGGTATATGTCAAAAAGGCAAAAAAATACTTCAGCTAAATTATTACGGTTCGGAATATCCGAAGGATGACTGCCCAACGAGCAAATTGACTGGAATACGATGACTGAACGAGGTTCATTCCTTTTGTGCGTTAAATTTAAATAAAAATTCTATAAAAGATAAATGGAAATATTATAATATAAATGGCAGATATACGTCTCAAACCGGTCACGGGCTAAAATTATGGAACACCACATTTGGGTGTGTTATTTTAAACGAGGTGTAGAGATTTCGAAATACGTTATGTTTCAAGGACAACTCTAGTCATTTGGGTGTTATATAATGTAATCCGAAACGTTCAAAATTACAAAGCTCAACGCACAAACATGAGAATAGCTTTATGTTTTTAAAAATGCTTTATGATGTGTGATGATAGAATATGATAACGAACTTCAACATCTTTGAATTGGTCCTAAAAATAATATTAGAGAAACACCAAAGAATATTGTTTAAATGAACATAAAGCAATTTACTACGTGGAAACTATCTAAATAAAATAAAGCGAATAAAAACATTGTCTAAATCTAAAGCATAATTCGTTTGGGTTAGTGATCACTAATCAAACATACCACTTATAAAACTTCAAACTGCCACTACTCGGTAACACCACGTCAGAATATCTATCTACTTCCCCATCGTCCTGTGGGCGACGTAAGAGTTTTTTTATTAACTTACTTAACAGCTCTGGATTCTAGCCCTTCTGAGCCTATCATTTCTTTCGGAATCTTCATTTTTATATTCTTTTTCTTCACAATATGCTGAAGCGTCACATTGCGAAGCCTTTGGAAGATTTCGACGACAGCTCAACCCAGCTGACAGTTGATGACGACATCCACTCAAGTTCATGAGGCGGCGACCAAGCGATCAAAATAACTTGAAGTTTATATCGACATCAAAGCACTTGTTTCGTCGTTTTCTATAATAGTTCACACATAGACACTTAATTCACAAAATCGCTTCACTTTTACGAATCAAAATCCACTTCAAATTATTTAAGCGACAAAACAGGAGCGACAATCCGTCTGCGGCCAAGTTCCCGCCAAAACTCCGGTGACGTAAGAGGCGACAGAGGGAAACTGCAACCCAAGATGAGCAGTAACATCTTCCTGATAAGAATTCTAAATAATACACTTCCGTTGCCAACCCGCCTAGCGTTAGCTTCTTAGCTTGACAACTAAGTATAGCAAATGATAGAATCAGGCGTTACTTTGCGAAAATCCATTATAATAAAAATATTAATTACTTTGCAACCTTCCGCTAACTAAATACAATTTGCAGTCAGCCGCCGTAGAGTCTACATTACCTGAGGATGCCTCGTGTAGAGGCGAAACACGTGTCGTATTATCGTCGATGGAGTGTCTTTCCTGGAATAGTGGTGTTGGAAGTAGTGGTGCTGGGAGTAGTGGTGCTGGGACTAGTGGTGACGGAATTAGTGCACGCAATTGAAGGAGGGCGGGAGGTGCTCTTCAATCCAGGTAAGACACATCATTGTATTTAGTCAGCGAAAAGTTGCAAATTAATTAATATTTTTATTAAGTATAGCAATTTCCCTTCTTAGGGGCATTGTATTTATGTGGCCTTTTTTCAGCAGTGAACTTTTATACGCTGTAGGCGGTACTGGTAAGCTTCCGAGGTTTCCTCACGAGGTTTTCCTTAACCTGCGATGAGTTTAAGGCACGTTATAAATCAGCACTTAAAATTTTGCATTTATCAAATTCATTGCTGCCGGCGGAGATGGCACCTAAGAATTGAATAGATTTTTTTTATAGGATAGGGTGACAAACGAGCACACAGTCCACCTGATGGTAAGTGGTTGTTGCGGCGTATAGACATCTACATCTATCCTCGATTACAAATCAAAATGCGGATGCCTTGTCACCCGTAAGAACTAAGATGAAATGCCTCGTTTCCAATAAAAAGGGTCTCCGGTTCTTTACACTCACCATACGAAACAGCAGCATTTGCGCTGGTTTTCTGTGAGAGCGTATTCCTTCCCCGGTCGAGCCGACCCATTCGTGCTACAACTATACTATAAAAAATAATATTATACTAATAAGTATAACTGCAGCATGGCTCTACCACGTATAATTGAAATTGAAATTGAAATGTATTTATTTAACCAAAAAAACATTACATAATTAAGCAATACACTGGTTTCTGCACTAAGCTCTAGGCTTGTATCGCAGGAACCAAGAACCTTGACTGACACCGTTTACACCGATAAATACATAGAACTCCGATTAAATTAAAATAAAGCGAAAAATAAATCTTTTTTTTTTCCCCTTTTTTTTCCCTTTTTTTCTCTTTTTTTTCTTTTTCTTTCCTTTTTTTTCTTTTTTTTTCCTTTTTTTTTATATAAATTAATGCATGAAAGAAAGAAAAAAAAATAGCTAATTTACTCTAGGAGTGCTTGTGTGCGTGCGAACGTGTGTGTGTGCGTGCGTGTGTGTGTGTGGTGTGTGTGTCTGTGTGAGTGTGTTTGTGTGTGGGGGGGGGATCGTGATTGCGCGTGTGTGTGAGTGAGTGTAAGTCTACGCGTGTGCTTGTATAGGGTCAACTAAGAAAGGAAAGTAAGTTTTCCGTTTCCTGATAAGAAGCATGTAGCAGCCAGGTTGTTATTTTGTGTTTGACTTTACTTGTGGGCAAAGACCTCAAATCAGGGAAGAGACAGCAGAATTTGTTGTAAATGCTAGGCAGAAGAAATGGTGAGTGGCGTTTGATAAAGCTACTGTGTGAGTTGGGAATCGGCACTCGAAAGATCCGACGTTGGCACAGGCTAAGGTAATTCGGGGAATTTATTATTTTTCTGTGGGTTAGTATTACTGCCTTTAAAATGTAGATTTGGCGAACCCGTAGTACCTTACATTCCTTGTACAGTTCGTCAGTAGGAAATCTAAAGTTTTTAGACAGCATTACTTTTAGTACTGCTCGCTGGGCCCTCTCGACTTCAAGCATTTTTGATTTGATTTGATAGTATAATATTTTCTTATTTGGGATTTTTTTTGGCATTTAAAATATAATTTTCGGGATATGTGAAATCCACCAAAACGCTGTGAGGCGGACTAATTCCTCTATAACTCTCTCCGAAAAGAGAAGTGACTTGTTCTCTGTCTGCAGTAAGATAGACTGTAACTTTAACTTTTATGTTTTGGAGAGAACTACATACATTTAGACATTCTACGGCATTAAGCATAAAGGTGAAAATTTGTAAGTATCCATAACAGAATACGCTTTCTTTTAATATATTATAAGAGTCTTTTTAACGTCATATTATAAAAAAAAACATTGTCAAATCATACATCAAATTATGTCGTAAAATTACCCCGCTTCTCATAGCATAGCAATACGTGAATGAATAATGACCAGCTGGACAAAAGTTAGAATAGTGGTGTATACTAGGAGGTTTATCTAAATCTGAGGGGGTGACATAGGGAGGGAGCTCAAGTGCAACATCAAGGTCGCGCCAAGACGACGACGTCATGAACTAAAGTATTTGTAGATGTAGGCGCTAGGCGGTGTAAGTTTGACAATATAAAAAAATCAATACATTCAACCTATTTTGATCGAGTTCACGAAATATTTTACTTTATTATGGTATATATTAAGGTGATTTATTATGTAAGTAATATATTAAATAGCTACTTTACCACGCGCTCGGCGGCATTTCATTGCAATTTTTAATACAATTCGTTCACAGCTCTTTCAAATTTAATTAAAATTTAATTAAAAGTTATGTTGCTGGGTATTTAGTTCATAAGTGTATAAAAAATATACTTATAAGAAATGATATTACTTATGTGTAAAATGTATAGCTACCCAATTATATTTTAGAAAGAGGTCTTCTCTTAAAAAAAGTTCTGTAAATATCCATCGGTGTTGTGTTTTTTCATAGATGAAGTTTGCCTGATAATTCAAACGCAATTGATTAAAGAACCACAAATAAAGAATATTAAAGATACAATAACTCAGAAAATGAAAATATTTTGCGACATTTCAATCCTCTCCTGTGAAAATCGTAATAAGAGGTTTTTTGGTTATTTATCAAATATCTTCGTCGTCTTTGAAATTTATATAAAAAAATCTTATGTGAAATAGGCCAAAAGTGAATTTCCATTTAAAAATTTGGGATTATTATTGGAGACATATTATGATTCACGGTAGCGTAATTGGATAGTTCACACTACCACTTCTACAGTACGCGAGTGACCCTGGTTCGATCCCCGCCGGCATCAATGATTTTGTTAATAGGAAGTTTTACTGGTGATTTCACCACTTGCTTGTATGTTGGCGGTGCGGTGCTTTTTTTGTAACTTTATATCCAATAATTATCTAGAGGATAAATAAACATTGATAATAAAATTGCACAATTCGTAAATAATTACGCCATCTAGTGATACCTACCGCAGTTCGCGTTTTACTAAAGACTACAGCGTCATCTAGTGTGCAGGGTTACACTATTTCGAAAACTGATCTGGTGTATAGTGATATACAGTGTATTAATATTTTATTATCTATGGTTCGCGTAGTGTATATTTTCGTTTTTTTTTTGTCTATGGCCAGTTGTCCGCAGCGCGTAGTATAGAGTGCTCGTGTACAACCTCATCACGCCCGTTGCTGTCATATTCAAGAGAAAAATTGGAAGTGATAAGTACCTAAGTCACAAAAATGGCAAATAAACGAAACAAAATAAAAAAATATTCGCGATTAAAGCTCAAGAAGATGAAATTGGCGAACTTTAAAAGGTAAGTTTTTTTACCATTCCTATTTGCCAATTCATAATTCGCTTTATGACTACTGCGTATACCTATTTACTCGTTGTTTGGCAAGGATTTTTCTATTGTAATATGCACAAAACCTTCATTTTATAATAGAAACAGATATAGTCTAAAATTTCCGTGTACCACATCAGACTATGGTTTATATTTTTACAGAACTCTTGTCAACATTAAGTCTGAAATTGTGGAACTGCCAGCTGAGCCGTTACAGGGAACAAGTAAACCCGTCACTTCAGCACAATATCCAGAAACATCTGACGGGGCACTAGTGGAACAACAATCAGTATCGCCCAGGTTTTTTGAGTAAGCTCACTTACGTACCTTCCTACGCACGCACTTATTCTAGAGAAAACCTGTCTTAGTTTTACATTTCATATACGCTTAATGTTTTAATTTAATTAATTTATTGTAATGTAAAACAAAAAACAATTCTCTATCAACTGGTTTCGCGGGTATTTGTAAAACATGGGTTTTTCGGGAACAAGGTTTTTCGAACGCGGTAAACACAGGGCAGCAGGCAGAGAGACATTAAGCGGCATCTAAATTGTCGAAAAGTAATACCGATAAACACGGTCACAACTCACAATATCTCCGCAACTCGCTGGAATGTGATGCCCCTCTCGCGTCCCCCTTCACCACGCCACACTGCTCCGTTCGCATCAGTATGGTTAGCATCTATAGTTGTTCATAGTTAACGTGACCATTTATTTTTGACTCAAAACGGGACATTGGTTTATTTAAGTCAATTAAAAGGTAGTCAATAAAAAAAACATTTTTAAAGTTATTTATTCAGAAAAATTCAGTTAGCTTAAAAATTACGAATTATATATAAATAAAAAAAAAAATATATATATCTGAAACGTTTAGCTGGTGGTAATATTAAGTAAGAATGAAACTCTTGGCTCCTTTTTTATATTCACCTAAATTATCAATATCGCCTTTAGAACTGAAATTTGTAGTTCGTCAAAAACTTCTGCATCTTTTTTACGGTCAATATATTCCTTTTCAATTAATACATCCAGAGATTTTTGACCGTCTTCCCGTGCGGGGAACTTTTTTAAATCTGCCCAATAAAAATATCTCCATTTCTTTGGTAAGAAAGAAATTCTACTGCTCCAGATATTCACGGCTTGTTTCATAAAAGTTTTTAGCCGCCCTTTTCACCAATTTTTCATCTATGTCAGTAACATTATCTTTCGATTTCACTTTTAATTGACGGACCGTAAATGAAGAACCGATCGGTCTGTTTCTGAGTCAAATTGTCTTTTAGCTGATTGATTTTTTGCAGCTTCAATAGCCGATACGGTCTGAACTTCAAGTTTCAATACAGCTTGATAAAAACTTGCTGACTGAGTATGTAAAAAATAAAGCCATAATTCGGATGTCGGATCTTAAAAAAAGTTTTTTAGTAACAACAACAGAAATTTTCGCGCGGTATCAGAAAACGGGACAATTTTGCGTCCCAGAGTTCATTTCAGGGACACCGGGACTCGTAACTATAAAAAGGGACAGTCCCGTTCAAAACGGGACGTCTGGTCACGTTATTCATAATATATTACTATAAATAACGTGACCAGACGTTATAATTGGTAATTAGTAATTGCATTATGATTTCTTAAATTTACGCGAACACTACACATTGAATAAAACTAAATTTATGGATTTTATCGCGTTTATTTCACTACTTTTACTTATTTTTAATTCCCGACGTTTCGGGTGCTTTACAGCAACCCGATAAATAATAAGTAAAAGTAGTGAAATAAACGCGATAAAATCCGTAAATTTAGTTTTATTCAATAGTAATTGCATTTTTATTATCATCATCATCAATGTCACTTATGTCTCTTATATTATATAAATATTATAATAGTAATAATGTAAGAAAGTGATTTTAATAAAAATATTTTTTAATTCAATACTGTTTTATTAAGTTTCCATCACTAAAACCAAAAACCATACGTAGGATCTAATCTTGTATTGTTTATTATTATTCATTTATAAATAACAAATGTATGTTCAATTACAAAATCCTTCAATCTAAACCATACATGTATAGCCGACAGTCGGGTAAAATATTATATTTCTAGAGATGCTTACTTAGCAGAATTTGACGTCATCGAGCGAGGTGCAGAGATTATGTGACTGAGTTGTTTAGATCCTATCCCTACTAACTAATACCCGACCTGCGACACAAGTGATAGGGTATAGTATTTTTTATTTTTTTTTTACTCCAAAAATTAATTACCCGTATATGAAATATAAATTATTTTTTAGAGGACTGCGGAGTGTCAACACGCGGCGCAAGTAGGTATTTTCAAAAATTCCATCTGTTTCATATCGCTCGCTCCGTATCGCCGTCGTGCGATATGCCCCATTTACATTCAGCCCTGTTGGGCAGGGAAGTGAGCAGGGCAGTGAGCAGGGCAGTATGTAAATAGGCTACTCGCGCTGACACTGCCGCTGCCGCTGCCACTGCCCGACGATCCCTCAAATGTCGGTTTTTCGTGCGGAAGTCAAAGGACGGGCATCGCGAGCGGCGTTCACCCAGGCGCTTGTCGCGAAGTGAGCGATGGAGCTGAATGTGAACACTCACTGCCGCTCGCGCTGCCCGTCCTCTGACTTCCGCACGAAAAACCGACATTTGAGGGAGTGTCGGGCAGTGGCAGCGGCAGCGGCAGTGTCAGCGCGAGTTGCCTGTTTACATACTGCCCTGCTCACTTCCCTGCCCAACAGGGCTGAATGTAAATGGGGCATTAAAGTTGCAAATATTGGAAGTCTACATTTTCTTTTAGAAATATTGTTTTCAAACCAAAACGTGCGCTACTCACGTCTACATGCGCCGGACAGAGTAGTTTGGCGCATGCTTGGTTGGTTTTTATCACAGATTATACGTAGGTAGAATGTTCAGTATATGATAATAGATTGTATTTGTATCGATGTTTATATCGAATACCTATAATTTTTTTTAATATGGCATTTATTTTGCATATAATATGTGCTAATTTAATTGTTCATGGGGGTAGCTCGAAGAACCGATAACCGATGGGGAAGAAAGGTTCTCGAGTGGCAGCCTCGTACGGTCGTACCGTACACTAGATGGAGTGACGACCTGGTAAGACATGCAGGAAGTCGGTGGATGCAGGTGGCTCAGGACCGTGCTTTGTGGCATTACTTGGGGGAGGCCTATGTTCAGCAGTGGACTTGTGAAGGGCTGTAATGATGATGATAATGATGATGTGCTAATTTAATACAATATTACATAATATTATGTCACAATTACATTTTAATAATATTTTTATTTGAATGTTTTAAAAAATAACTATGTAAAATATTAAAAATAATAATAAAAAGGCACATACTAAATGTATGTCAATACTTATTTACAAACATAATAACAAACATAAATGCCTGGACACGCGAGAGTCAAAAATGGACGAATTTATTCCACAGCCCACTTATCTCTGTTTTCATGACTTGGGCGTGGAAACCTAAAAATAAAAGAATAATGAGCAAATTTAAATATTAGAAATTTATCCTAATTATGAACACTTCCATTTGTTTCTACCAAAGAATTGGTCCTACACTTAAGTACACACAGAAACGTCGCACCTGAACAAATTAATTTCATAATCTATATTCTATGACACGAGATGGCGTCTTAGGAATAATTTTTATGATTATTAATCTATAATAGTTTTTTTATTAATTAAGTATCTTACTCCACCGATGAAAATTTATTGATTGGCATTTGCTAATATTTCTTGAATTGTTTGCACAATATCTAAAAACAGTGTCGCCTCTAGTACGAGATACACAATAGCATAGCATTGTAAGGGAAACGTCAATTTGTATTTAAAAGTCACAAAAGGGTTGTTGAACCGTTTTTACAAAAAAAAAAAAAAGAAAGAAACGGTGTTTTGTAAAATCGGTATTTTTATTTGCTGTGACTGGAAATTTATAAATATCGGTTTCAGTAAAAAGTTCTTATTTATTTATACTTTATGCACAGTGATGGTACACAGGTGGACTTAATATCATAAAGCATTCGCTACTAGTCAATCTTGTAATCTTGCTACCGATGTCACATGTACACATATACTTATATCTATATTTTTCCTAATTATGTATAATTGTTTTAGCACCCCAGAAAAAGTACTTGATACTGAAAAAGTAACAGGAACGGTCTCTCCGCAAATTCTAACAATATTTGATACGAAACCAGAGAACCTTCAGCCAGTGTCAGTCACACCACCGCCAAGTGTTGCCAAGTAAGTTTACCTTTCAGTGAAGTTATAGCTTTTTTAAGCTAACAGAAAAGGAGACGAGCAGATCGTTCGCCTGATGGTGAGCGTCACGTCCTGCCTATAATATCCGCGGTGCCACTCAGTGCTTTAAATTACAAGTTCTGCGCGGAACTCATTCTTCCCAGTAATTACAAAGTACCTTCCTTATTATAATAAAACAGTAACCAGTAACAGTAACCAGTAACAGTTGAAAAAAGCATTATATACGTTTTGCATTGAATATTTAAAAAAGATGGAGTAATGGCTGAAAATAGTGACACTTTTACGCCGGTTGGTTCTTATATTGTGGAGGCTAACGAACCTGCATCCGTTTTATAATACCGGTTTATAGTTATAATGTTAAATAAATATCTATTAGTATTAGTTTTAACATATTTATATGAATATAATACGCGTTTCATTCAATGTTTCAGAGCCCCCGAAGACCCGCTTTATATAGGGGAGCATGAGTGTCAGACAAACCCGATTAAAGAAATCACCGGTCGCAGAATTGTTGACAATCCTTATTTTTTGAAACAATTGCAACAGCAAAAACACGACCACTTTTTTCAGTGTGATGACAGTTGCTTGGATTTAGTGACAGAAAAGCGCATCGGCCTCGTTACTCATTTCAATTTCAAATGTAGGATGTGCAAGAAACATTTTCAGGTGTGTGTGTACTGATGATTTGGGCAGTGATCGTGTAGATGTTAACACTGCAGCAGTTTCAGGCATAGTAGTCTCTGGGATTGGGTACTCTCAATTCGAAGAGACTATGTCTGCTATGGACATTCCTATTTTCCGTGAAAAATATTAGGCGAAAATTCAAAATCACATGTCCAATGAATAGGAGGCCACAGCAGTAGAGGCAATGGAACAAGTTGCTGCATTGAACGTAAGGCAGCAATTCAAGAAGGGAAGATTTTAATGGTTTCCCCGTGACTGATGTTTTTGCGGATGGTGGTGGTCTGGTGTTGCTACAATCGTAGGTCGAAAATTTTGAAAAGTTTTCTTCATTGGCGTCACAAATAAATACTGTCTAATATGTGCAAGGGCACGTGTATAAGTAAATATAAGATACGTCAGGGAATACCCAAAAGTCACGATTGTAGTAAAAATTATGAAGGCCTGTCCAGCGGAATGTAAGCGACGATCATGTGCGAGGGTTTCAAAGAATCCATCAATATGTATGGGCTTATATACGGCAATATTGTCTATACAAAGGCAGTATTAAGCAAATATATGTATATATTTATATTTATTGTATGTATATCTATATAATAATATATATGTGTAATTATGTTTATAACATTTATTGCAATATGTAATGTGTATGACTACTTATAGATATTTTAACTCAGTTGCACTTTGCACCCACAATATCTTCTCTGCTCAGCCTGGAGGTAGACTGGTAGAGAATGCCTTGTTGCATTAAGGCCGCCTTTTTGTACTTGTTGTGCAAATAAAGCATAAATAAATAACGTAGCTGATGGTGATTCTGCAACCTATGCTAAAATATCGGCATCAAATCTGTATGCAGGCTACGTAGTTTCAAAAATAGAATGCCAAAATCATGTTCTACGAAATATGTGTAATAAGTTGCGTGCACTAACTAGGTAAAATGCAGAGAAAACATATTACCAACGAGAAAGTTATGAGCATGAGAAAAGTTGTCACGGGTTCAATCAAACACAATAAAAATAATCCCAGGGATATTGCAATAAGAAAAATTCACGAAGACATTACTAATTCATTAAACTATTTGAGACACGAAATTACTATGGTGGGCGAGTAACTGCGCCGGATATGTCTGTCAATGAGTACAGTGCAGCGTCTGCCGATTTCATGACTAATCTGAAGACACTGGTTGATGACCGGGAGAGAATACAAAAACGCGAAAGCTGAATGGTTACAAATCAGGAGATTAATGATAACTACTTCAAACTTTGGAGCAATAATAAAGAGAAAAAAATTTGCTGCTCTCGTAAACAACATTTCATATAAACTCAAATATTTCATCTGTCGCATCAGTGGGACATGGACTCTGCAATGAAAAATTCGCGTTTCAGCAACTGAACAGCCTTACCTTGGTGCCAGTTCGGATTGAGTCGTTGGAGAAAATACAATCATTAAGGTGAAATGTCCTATAACTTCCTTCAAAAACGGCATGAAAAATGCTGGCAAACAAAACAAGGTCAAATTCTTAAATTCAACAAAAAGAATGGCCAAGTTACTATAAATAAAAATAGTAACTGGTACTATCAAGATCAAAAGCAACTGCGAGTAACGGGCAAGCAGAGATGCATTTTCGAGATATGGGGAGGGGAAAACGAAAAAAAGAAGTTGTATATGTCCTAGAAGATGACGACTTTTGGAAAAATAAAATGAAGGCCAAACAAGTCAACTTTTACCACATGCAAATTCTCCCAGAGTTGGTAGAATCCCGCCGCAACCGAGAGGTAGTGAAAAATAATTTGCAGCCTATAATTGTTGACACGCAAAAGCGCTGTGCGGTTTTTGTTATTATACTTATAGTAAATAATAAAATCATATATACCCGCATTTCATAGCTATAAAAATCGTTTTCTTTTTCATTTTTTGGTTTTTTATATTTCTTATTTTTTAAAGCGGTTTTAGGTAAAACTGAATATAAATAATGTATTATATGTATATAATAATAATGATCTTTGATAATAAATGTATATTTTTGTATTTTCCCTAGCCACCTTTTAAAATATTCATAGAAGTAATTGTGACGTAATATTATGCCATATTATATTAAATAAGCACTTTAATAAAATAAGTGACAATTTAAAAAAAACGAGTGGGCTTATGGCTATAACTCTCGTCACGCTTTGACCAGCGTACTCCCCAAGTCAAGCGTGCATTAAGAAGTTTTACTTCAAAATTGTACTCGATATAATTAACACAACAAGCTAAATAAACAATTTTTACATACAGTAATTATTTACCTACGTGTAATCTATGACGATAAAAACTGGCTGTGCAGGCGTACATCTACATAGAGTAGCGCACATTTTATAGATTAGCTTCTCTAGTACGCATTACATATAACACAATGGTGGCAAGTGATGAACATGTAAATATTGGGTCCTTACATATGAAATTAGCGTTTTGTCGTACTGACCACTTTGATCTGAAATATCTCCTCTTTGGTTAAGAATTCTAAATTCAAATTTATAAATTCAATGAGCTGGTACATTTGAGTTTTGAAAACAGTCATTCTTTTGTTTTTTTCCTCATTATTTTTTTCTTTGGCGTCGCTTATTACCGCACAATAGAAAACTAAAAAAAATTAAATATCGGTATATTTACGAGTACGAGTTCTACCGTGGCACCAGTGCTGCATAAAGAGCTCGAAGGATTAATGATGTGTACGGCGCTGGTATCGCAAAAGAACTCACGGTACGTTTTTGGTTTCAACGTTTTCGTTCTGGAAATTTCGACCTTCAGAACCAACCCCGTGGACGGCCGGAGACCAAAATGGAAAATGAAGAGTTAAAGGCTATTGTGGAAGTGGATTGTGATGGCACAAAGCACTTCATAGACAGCTGTAGGCTTCAGGGTAAGTGATAAAACTGTAATTTAAACAAAAAACATTAATCCACTTAAAGCAAATCGGGAAAGTAAAAAAACTTGAACGATAGGTACCTCAAGATTTAAGTGAATCTAACTTGCAAACACGCGTCGAATGCTGTGTTACTTTGCTCAACCGACACAAAAATGAAGGGATTTTAATTTGAAACATTACGTGTAATGTGGATACTGTACGATAATCGAAAGCGCTCGTTGCAATGGCTGAACCCTGGAGAGCCAAATCCTGCCCTATACGAAAATTGACTCAAAAAAAGTTACTTGTGAGTTTTTGGTGGACTAGCGCCGGTGTCTTTCACTACAGCTTTCTAAAATCTGGCCAAACAATTACGGCAGATATCTATAGTCAGCAACTGCAAACCATGAAGGAAGAAGTAGCTGCTAAACAATCGAGATTGGTCGATCGCTCTAGGCCACTGCTGCTTCACGACAACGCAAGACCACACACTGCACAACAAACAACCACTAAATTAGATAAGCTACAATTGGAATGTCTGCGACATCTACCGTACTCCCCGGTACATTGCTCCAAAATTACACCGAACAAACTTGATTCACCCAAGGGAAAAAAACCCTTTTCAACATAGAAATAAACTAGGTACATACCTCGGCAGGTATGCAGTTTATTTTCATGTTGAAAAGTAAGAGTACGTCGACTCGTAAGTACCTATAGACCATATGTATCTATGTACTAAACTAATTTTATTTTTTTCTCCGTTGCATCATTATTCACAGTAGGTAGGCATATAGAATAATCCAATAAATTAAAAAGATATCCATTATATACATAGCTAGTCAGCAATGTTGGAATCGAGGCTGACTGCCTAGGGTGTGCTAGAAGTAGGTACTTGGGTATTTCGTCACACGAGGAAGCTCTTAATGCACCCAATTATAATCTGAAACTATTTTATAAATAAACGCTGGTTATATCAATCAATTACTATATATTTGTATACTACGTAGATATATTCAACTATTAGTGGGTTATGCAATAATCCTACACTTATGAAAGCTCTGCACTTGTCCTATTGCTACACTAGCTGGGTGAACGCGCCCCGCATGCCAATCGCCTGTCGGCGTCTGCTTCACCCCCTAGAAATCTACGTTACTACTATACTATTTCGCCTTAAAACGGTATGTGAAAAAGGAAAAGAAGGAGGTTGCTCGAGCAAGTGGATGAGTGTATATTTAAGATGTGTGTTCAGCAGGGAAGGTAGGGTAGATCTGAAAGGAAATAGAACCAAGAGAGAATGCGAGTATGCCAGTTCACATTGCTGTGTTAGTTCCTAACTTGTGTTAACACTTTTTTAGTATAGCGATGTAAAATAAGTACACAGTCCACCAGATGGTAAGTGGATGCTGTGACCCATAGAGATCTACATTAATACATTTTTTATATTATTTGTACAACAAATACATGGATCATAGGGCTTCTGCTCGAAAAAGGATATAGAAAGAAGTGTCAAATGAACACACAGTACAGGCGATGGTAAAAAACGAAAATATGCCTTTTAGCATGTAACTGAACTGGAAAGGATACGGTATTAACATCAATGGCGATTATATCATTCAACTTTGATTTACCGACGATATATTCCTTATGGTAGAATCACTGGAGGACCTAAGCACTATGCTCAATGACCTCAATAGTATCTCCCAACGCATAGGTCTTGAGATGAACATGGACAGAACAAAGGGCATGTGTAATCCATGTCACACCTATGCCGGTAGTTGTTGGGAGCACTATGCTCGAAGTTGTTGACGAGTACGTTTACCTGGGACAAATAGTCCGACTAGGTAAGTCCAACTTCGAGAGGTCAATCGACGGATTCAACTCGAATGGGCAGCGTTCGGGAAATTACTACACATCTCGTCAAAACCTTAAAACGAGATTGTACACCCATTGCGTGTTGCTAGTGATGACTTTTGGATCTGAGACGTGGCTCTTTACTGCTGGCTGTATGAGGACGCCCAAAGTCGCATAGCGAGCTATGGAGAGGGCTATTCTCAGGGTTTCTCTACGTGATAAACTTAGGAATGACGATATCCGCAGTAAAACCAGAGTGACCGACATAGCCCAAAGCATTACGCTGAAGTGAAAATGGGCCGGCCATGTAGCTCGAAGAACCGACTAACGATGGGAAGAAAAGGTTCTCAAGTGGTAGCTTCGTATCAGTAGATAAAGTGTAGGGCGATATCCACTAGATGGAGTGATGACTTGGTAAGACATTCAGTAAGTCGATGAATGAAGGTGACTCAGGATCGTGCTTTGTGGCATTCTTTGAGGGAGCCCCATGTTCAGCAGTAGACTTT